GATAATTATTTTTTAAAAGCTAGACATTTTAAATGAGAATAAGAAAGAAAAGTATTTCTTTGTGCCCCCCTCTCCCTGTTAATGCCCTACCTGGCCCCCTGGTAACACTTTGCTAGACCCGCCCCTGCACAGTTACCAGCTGTCAGCTACATAAAAAAGGATCCTGGTGTTATTTGTCTCTCAGAAACAGTTCATAACTTCCCTTCAACTCATTCATGTCACCTAAAAGGTAAACCTGTTTCTCCATCACCTGTTCAACTCTGATGATTCAGTAAGGACATCTCCTGGTTTCATCTTCATGTTTCCCTCTCACCACATATCCAAACCGAAACCGCTTTTACAGCTGTGGCTCCAGCAAACATCAGCTGATACTAGAAATTAATATTAAATAAATTCTAACAACAGCTGATCAAGCTTTAACGTGCTGCTGATGTTTAGCGCTACATCCACTGATTTCTTCTTTCTGGCGCGAAGTGGGCGATAAACAAACAAGAGAGAAAAGCCGATCAGCTGATCTTTGATCATTTTCATGATTGAAGTAGAAACGGGAGAGGGAGGGTGAGAGAATGAGAGAAGAAGAGGCAGCTGTGCAGCAAAAACACAGAATAACTCCAGCTTTGTGTCTTTTTCGTTGTAGCTGAAGTTCGGGACAAACTGTGTTCCTTATCACCTCAATACAAAACGTGTAATATTTTCTCTGAATACAGAACGATTCCGTTTTTTACGGGATGGTTGGAAACTCTAATAATTAACCTTATGAACAAAATAAAGTTCAAATCTGTTTGTCTAAACGCATGTTAATGTTAAGATTCATACTGCTTTTTGACTGCTGACTGCTGATGTCGTTTTTTTCTCCACCTTTAAACTTACTCAGCTGTTAACAAAGCATTTGTGTGGACACACACCTGAGCTCCAGCTCTCATTTTGAATGCTGACCATGTAAAACATTGTCCAAACTTCTTGTGAGTTGCTCTCTATGACGTTTAGAATTTAATGTTGGCTCCAGATATTTTTGGACAGTGGCATGATTATTGTCTTTTTACCTTTGTATCAAAACATACTTGGGTTACTGCTAAATGCTTTAAGCTTCAAGTGCAAACATTCAATTCTAAGTTGAGGGGTTAACCCATCATATTGCATTGACCACTGAAGTGTTGCATCTGTACTTTAACACTTTGGTCAGGAAGCGATTTCAAGTGTGCTGTGGCTGTTAATACAGAAAAAGAATTTAGTATGGATATTATTAAGATTGTGAGTGGCTAACTATTTTGTACATACTGAGAAAAGCACACATGGAAAGACCTGGAAAACCACAGACATGGGTGATGACAGGATCTTTTCTATAGTAAAGAAAAGCCCCTACAGAACATCCAGCAAAGAGTAGAGACCAACCTCCATGAGGTAATTATATAAAGTGTTAAATGAAGAAAAAGATTTCAGGAGACCTGCCCACAGGGAAAACAGGAAGGACCAGAGCTTGCTCGTTGACAGTGACTGAATTTTCAAAATAAGAGCGCATTACCTCGGCTGGATGAACAATTATGAAAAAAAGTCTGTGCTTTGGAAACAGTGCACTGTGTGCGTGATTGGGCGACCGTGGCTCAGGGGGTTGGGAAGCGCATCTGTAACCGGAAGGTCGCCGGTTCGATCCCTGGGCTCTCTGTCCTGGTCGTTGTGTCCTTAGGGAAGACACAACCTACCGCCTACTGGTGTTAGCCAGAGGGGCCGATGGTGTGATATGGCAGCGTCTCTTTTGTTCTTCTGCAGGGCAGCTGTGGCTACAACTGTAGCTGCCTCCACCAGTGTGTGAATGCGAGAGTGAATGAATAGTGGCATTGTAAAGCGCTATATAAATCCAATCCATTATTATTAGAAGACGTTGGCTGAGGCTCATCATGTTGTTATGTTACCATGGGCACATTACAAACACAAGCTGCTGGGGGATAGTTCAGCTTATTTAGATGGCCGCAGAATCACAACTAAACAGAACTTGGAGAGACCAGCAGTACCCAACAACACGTTGATCAGCAGCTACACTTTGCCTCCATTTAAACACAAAAGCTGAATTTAATGTTAAATTAAAATGTGGAAAAAAGAAAAGTTTCACTTGAAATGAGAAAGATGTGGCTTCAAACAGGAGGTAGTTCCTTCTGTAATTGTTACTGAACAGAGAGAAAGATCGCTCTGACAGGTCTCACCTCCCTGAGCAGGGCAGGCAGTATAAAAATCATCCTGCCTCCTCTTGGGAAATAGAGTTAAAGAGTTCCCAGCAGCTATCAGCTTTTCTGTCAGATCTGTACAGGCTTGCATTTTTGGTGAATAGTGCTGGGAATGCAAAAAGAAGACAGCTCCTGTAAGAAGTGGCACTGAAATCCACAGCTGATTAATAACATCTTAAACTTGTAATTCACTCGGTGTCTTGTGGAAGCATAATCTTAAATGTATACCCAGTTAGAAGCATATGTAATACAAAGTGTATGCGGCTCTTGAACTCGACCAGTGGAGTGGGATTTATGGCAGAAATAAGGAAAAGCGGTCAATCTACAGCCAGTGAACCCAGCATCCGACTCCTGCTTCACTTCCTCTAAACTTTAATAGTAACGAGTTGATTTTAGAGCTACGCTTTGCTTTGTTATACCTTTTCTTGTGTGCTGTTTAAGTGTACGTGTGTTCATGTACGTATTGAGGAGCATCCGCTTGTTATTTTTGTTGTGCGTCAGATTTGAGAAGCGTATCTACATCCCTCTGCCAGAGGAGCCGGCTCGGGCTCAAATGTTTCGCCTCCATCTGGGCAACACGCCGCACAGCCTGAGCGAGGCCGACCTGCGGCAGCTCGCCCGCAAAACAGAAGGCTACTCCGGTGCCGACATCAGCATCATCGTCCGGGATGCTCTCATGCAGCCCGTTAGGAAGGTCCAGTCTGCCACACATTTCAAAAAGGTAAGAGAAAGAAACCTGTGAAATCTTCAATCTTGGATCTTTGTGATATAAACGAACTATTGAAAGTCCTGTTAGTTTATCTGGACTTATAAGGTCTTATAAGTCTTGATTAAAGTTCAGTTCATCCTCTGTTAAAAATTAGCTGTTTTAAGCTTGTTTGTAAAAGAAATCACCCCAAAAAACCAAGCCTGTGAGCTCCAGTACCTGTGATCAGCTGCCCTGTGCTTCTGCTCACTCTCAGGTTTTAGTCAAATCTGTCCATGGTATGTAAGCAGATGTTGAGGAATGAGGAATTAGAGCTGCTTTTCAGCTACTAGACAGTATATTACTATTAAAGAGCATCATCACTCAGGCCTGCAGCAGTCTAACAGACTCCGTTACTGTAAATGTTATCAGAATACTGCAAACTAACCAGTTTAACATGAATTTAATTAGTTATTGTGTTTAGTATGTAGTTGAGATTGAGTTACTAATGTCTCAAAGATCGCCCATAGACTCAATTCAATTCAATTTTATTTATATAGCGCCAAATCACAACAAAAGTCGCCTCAAGGCGCTTCATAGATACAGAGAAAAACCCATCAATCATATGGCCCCCTGTGAGCAGCACTTTGGC